ATTATAATTAATATTATTATTATTATTATTATTATTGTTATTATTAGTATTATTAGTGTTAGTAAAAGCTCGGGCATGCCAGTATATGCAAGCGTATGCTCGGGCATGCCAGTATATGCAAGTGTGTGCTCGGGCATGTTAGTATATGCAAGCACATGCTCGGGCATGCTAGCTTTTGCTTGGTTATGTCAGTATATGCTAGCACAAGCGCGGGGCTTCGGGGGCAGGCTAGGGCATAGGATTAAACGCCGTATCTACACCTTACCAACGTATGTAAATAGTCAGCGACGACGCTATATCTGTATCTACATTCGAGAGTCTCGAGCGGCCGAGCCGAGCCGAGCCGAACGCCAAGGCACACGCACACACGCATACACTCGTATAAACCCCTCGCATATGCCAGCGTTCGCCAGCGACGCTAGGGTATGCCAGCGTGTGCGAGCGAACGCCAGCGGTTCCACGTGTGCAAGAGTAGTAGGGTTGAGTGTCACTGACGCAGCAGCGCGCGTAAACAACAACAAAGCTATATATAGTCACAGGTCGTGAGGCCGTTACACACTATACTCGAGAACCCAAGAGTATGTAAAATGACACTGATGGCTCTGAGCGCGGTTAGCGTCGACGTAGCGGAGCCCTTCGATTGGCTGGAAAAGTTAAAGACAAAATTTGGCATGGACACACACACACACACACACTACAAGCAGTCCAAGCACCCCAAGCCCAAGCGCTTGCATTACTTCCATACACAAGTCCGTGTACTGTGCAATACGTTTTATTAGTTTGCAATGTAGTCACACAGACCTTCTCTGACCAATCAGAGAGCCCCGTCATCCCCATATGTAGCGTAACACGTACAGTATAACACAAGTTTGTACGATACGCTTAAAGGATCAGGTCCCTGCATGGCTGTACTTCAGTATCATTCTGCAACAACTTACCCGCAACTTAAACATGACATACGGTATCGTGAGTTGTAGGTAAGTTGACTTATATCTACTTTCTACAATACGTCACACCGTAACTTGACGTCACGTTACAATGCATAAGAAATAGTAACGTAATGTCAGCATGTGGTACGACACCGCGGCTTATACAGTGTAAAAGTTACGGAACACCACCATTCACTGAGGGGCCCTCAGAGCGATACTGAAATACATACAACCCCTCACACACAGCGTTTTGTCACAGCGAGGGGGCTGAAGGTATGTTCCTGCAACACTCTCCGACAGCTTAAACATAACGTAAGATGTCGCAAGACACAATAAAGTTGTCGGTTAGTTGTTGGGCAGCGTCACTGGAACACACTCCAAATACATACAGTGCGAGTGTATGATAGCGCTATCCACAGCAGCCAACACAGCCTATCGTGTGCTCGCGTTGCTTGTATGCCATTCAGAAGAGGCAAGATTGTAGCCTGAATTCCCCTAGCACCGTCCCCACTATAAATGCACTATTCGACCCTCCCAGCCCGTTTTCTTTTCTTCGCTCATTCACACAGCTTCCTAATGTTACGTGACCACGTACCTACTATGCACAGCCTTGGTAATCTCAATCGCCATAAGCCTCGACATGTAGTAACCAGAGTACTGACTCAGGCTGACGGGATTCTCGATAAGATATACATTTTAAGGGTTGTAGCCGCTGTTGGTGATATGGAACGGCGGCTGATTGCACTAAAATGATCGGCAATACAGTTACCTAAGTGATCGATTTATCGGCGTACCAGTCAATGGTAACATTCATTTGCAGTTGTTTCTTACTTACTGTAGGTAATAGCAGTTCCGTTTTTTTTCCGTAGGTACCCTAGGTAGCTTCTAGGATGCTTTCCGCAACCGTTAATCGTTATAACGGGCGTGATATCCAGTGATCGGGCTTCGGCGGTGGGGGTGACCTTTGCTCTTTAAGAACACGCCCGAAGCAAAAAAACGTATCCGTAGGGTATCCGGGCCGTCGAATGTAGTCAGTTTGTTGGTGGACAAAAAAGCACAACTCAGATTTCTCCATGTCATTTTAAGCGGCGAAATCTGAGTTGTGCTTTTCTTCGCAGGCCAAAAAAAAAACGTCAGTAGGGTCTATGAGCGACGAGAAAAATCGCACGCTAGATGGCGCTGATTAAAATGCACACACGAGCGAAGACCACCGACGGCACCGACGAAGCCCGATCACGCCCGAAGCAAAAAAACCTTATGGAAAAAATGTGAAGATTTTAGTGTGCATACATACATGTATGTATGACTTGCACGAGCGTTGTGTGCGTGTTTGTGTAATTGATTGGTGTGAGCACGCACACCATCAAATGTTTTACTTCTAGCGTGTAAGTATAAAATTGTAATAGGGGAAACTCGGTGAATTATCAAATCAGCAAGTCCTATGCATCAATACGAGACAAATGTCTAAGAGTACTACAAAATGATAATGAATCATTTTTTTATTCGTCGAATAACTTCCTACTTGTCAAGATTCTACTAAAAATATCGAAAAAAAGACTATTCCTGCAGGACATGTGCTTTAATTTTTTCCAAAGCTATTCTTAAGGCTTAATAAATAAATCAAGAAGTTGATTACATTATATGTTTATACACTTCTCATTAGGTTTCACCTGATATTTACAAGTGTACTCGCATGCACATAGGGTTCATCGCGAGTATAACTATATATATATATATATATACTTTAAGCAGGCAAAATCAGGCGGCGGTTGGGCAGAAGCTTGGGTCCAAGTCTGCGCCCCATTACAAAGATACACTTGGCCCTGCACCTTGGCTAACTGGGCATCTTGACTTGGGCCCAAGCTGTTGCCAATTTTTAATCTCCAATCGGGACTTAAAGACAGAGTGACATATTTATCTTAGCAAATTTTTTTATTTTTATTTTTCTAAGAAATGTGATAAGACAGACTTATATCCACAATAAATGATAACTGATGAAAATCAATAATGCACTTCCAGGTAGCAGTGGTGATTTTAAAGAAGACCAGAATTACAAACAGAAAAAATCCTGCAAAGTCGTGTAAAAGTAGGAAACAATTAACAATATAATAATGGATTTTTTAAACTATGTATTTTCCTTAAAATTTCACTTATATTTCGTACATACATACATACATATATATGGTGGGTGCCAACAATCGGATCTAAAACAGACCGGTTTTTGCTGCAGTCGCCGGGCCGATCGTTTTTTTATTTTCATACTCTTGTGCGTATTATTTACACGTTACAATTATCTGAATTTCATTATCTATACTTATATTTTCGTTTTTATTTTTTAAAATCTCATTGGTACCTTCCTTAGCTTGCAATCAGTATAAAATCATAAAAAATACTGCCAAATTTACAAATGACAAATGCTAACGATCAAGGTAACATTTACTTTTTTTTCCATTTACACTTGAACCGCTTTTATTTTCAGTCGCTCAAAACATACGACATCCTAGTACTGTAGACATGTGTATAGGTAATTATATGAGTTATAAAGTTTTTCTGAAGTTTATGTGAGTTCAAGAAAATCATACATATTTTTTATTATTTTTATTTTTTTTTATTTTGCATCGATACAAGTTGCGAGGTTCATCGGTACAACTAACTTTTCACAGTACTAAATCGGAATGTCAAAATGAAAAATTTACAAAAATAAACGAAAAATACGAATTACAATTTATATATGCATACGTAATACAGTCATCTGCCCACTTTCGACAAAATATTCATGTCTTGAGAAAAAACAATATACTTACATTTTCGAGACAGACAAAGTAAACAAAGACACGGTTACATTTTCCTTTTTTTCTTTATTGCGTTACACGCCAAATGTGTAAGTGTGTGTGTATGTGTGTGTGTGTGCTTTATTTTCCACTACACTCTTTTTTTGTTTTGCTTTATTTAATTTTTTTTTTCTTTTTATAAATAATTTTCATCGATGTTCTCAGTATCGAGTTAATTAGAGCTAAAACTACCACTACCCTTAAACGCTAATTGGTTTAATAAACCGGTTTGAAAATTTTTCGTCCCTTGTACAACACTTTTGCGTCTCTTTGACGCAAAATCAAACGAATTTGCACAACAATTGTCGCTAGTAACTATTTCTGCTGCGCTTCTTTTTTTTCAATAATTTTTTTTCGTTTCTCTTACTTTTATATGTATATTAACGACGACGAATATCGTCCGATCGATCGTGCGGTGTATATATACGTACGGGTATATATAAATAAGCAATTAAATACATATTATACACGATGAAATAATACTCGGCGTTTACATACTTTCCAAAAATAAATGTAAAAAAATAAAAAAAATAAAATAAGAGAACCTTATGGTTTCAAACACAAAGACGTCATTTTTTTTTTTTTTTTTTTTTTTTTTTTTTTTTTGAAAAATTGGTAAGTATTCGATATTAAACTTGTGACTTTATAATGTAGTAAATTCGTTATTACGCGTTTCTTTATTTCTGGTGTTTTATTTTGATTTCTTAGTCAAAGAGTGGTGGTGATGATAAATGATATTTATACGCATTACGACGAGAATAGTGTAATTAGTGGTTTTCAACAAACGATCAAGTGTGACTTGCTGCGTATGGTATACGTACATTTTCGTTTTTAATAGTACCATTGGAATTACTGAGTATAGTGCCAAGAAGATTTAGAATTCGTTTTGTTTTACACATATACTTAGATTGGCTAGTACTATAGATTAGGTCACAGTTACAATTTCTCTCTAAAATAGGTTCCTTATATAGCTTTTTAATACTGACGATTCATTTGTTGATTTGTTCATTTAATTCTTTGTGTCATCCTCAAAAGTAAATTTACGAGACTAAATCTTTCCGCCGCTTCGAGGATGTTTAACAGGTGACCAATTAGAAATAATCAGAACTCATGGAATCTTGTACAAAAAAAACTTTGAAAAATATGTAGTACTTGATTATCATTTTATTTCTATCATATTTTATTAAAATTATGATAAGAAAAATGAAAAAAAAATATTTTTCAATGATTTCGCAACACAAAATAAATTCCTGTGAACTTCCGAGTGAATTATGCGATAATCGGGTGACATCGATTCGAGTTTTATTATTCATTATTCTTACACCGTGTTGTCGCGCCACACAATGTGAAGTATCTTTTTTTTTTTTTTTTCTAATTAGTTTTTACCACTCGCACTTGAATTTAAGCAAGAGGACGGGTAAGGAAGGGGTTTATCGTACAGTTCTCTTTTTGAAAATTCAGTAATGAAATGAAAGTGCTTACATCGAGGAAGACACTTGATGATCCATCCAAAATGTAAAAAAAAATAATTCAAAATTATCGGTAGACTCAACGTTTTGCAAATACGTGTATAAAACGTCCCTCACGGTCAATTAATATTTTTCTTTCTCTCGCACATGTTTTTAATGTGGAATGTCATTCACGCACAAGATATACAAATCAGCCGCTAAGTAAACGGATACTCATAAAAAAAAAAAAATATTTTGCAGTGATTTCATGATTCTTTTGAAGTACTTCGATTCTCTTACACGCTCGTTGTGATTCGCATACAATTGTCACGCGCAATTGGTTCGCAGCAAAAAAATCTATAGACTAGACTCTAACGACTAATGACTAGATTAGTGAAAGCAAGTACTCATAAAAGAGGTGAGGTCCAAGTTCGTGTCCTCTCTTTTGCGCAAAATTGTATACATATATATGTATGTATATGTATATTATATGTATATTTGTATCGTATGATAATACTTTCTTCCGTTTTTGCGATCGGAAAAAGGAGCGAGCGAGCTTGGCTCGTTCGTTATTACTTATGCAAATCTTTCAACGACTACGCGCAACTTTTTTTTTTTTTTTTTTTCTTCGCTCATACAAAGGTTTTCTCTCGCTTGGTCATATTTACAGATTACTATATATGTACAGTTTGACGTATATTGACATAATTATGCTCGTCGTTGGTGCTCGAGTACCTAAAATTATCCTTACAATCGCCTCCCAACAGTTGCTTGACATTAACAACGAGGATGTTTACCTGTTGACGCAAAATAAACGTAGTGCATCCTTGATAAAGGGAATATCTCAAGTAATGATGTACATCATAGTGCATTATGTTCCATAAATGCATGAATCAGATCGCTTCAAACAAACCATTCTGGCTACCATATCATTATTTATTATTATTATTGTTATTATTTTTTTTTTTTGATAACGGAATAGTTTTTACTTTTCTTTTTCGCCCTCCATTTTTAGTAGCAAATGCGTAGGCATTAAGAGATTCCAACAGTTTCAACTTTCGACGATGGGAAGTACCGCTTAAGTTTTGGGATTAAGAAAATATCGTCGTATGGAATACTGTAGAAAATAATTTAAAAAAATACTTTAATGTTTTTGAAAACGGAAGCTCCACAGAAGTTTTACATTTTGCCATATGAATCGCGATGTGAATATTTTCAACCCTTTAGGTTGCACATCGTAAAATTCGTTAATATTTTGTCAAATTACAAAACGTCCTTAGAAATCGTCGTTACTTTTCTTTACAAATATTTCTCAAAAAACATGTGTGCGATAATTTTTTCGTCTCGATAACGTGCGCTCACCTAATTAATTGTTAAACGTTTAAAAAGTTTTTTTTTTTGTTTTTTTGCCATTATTAATAATTCCTTATACATTAGCTGTATTCTCCCCGAACATGATCAAACAGCGACATTCGTGTTGAAAAATGCGATAAAAAATTCGTGTCCAATTGACTATGGCAAAATTTGTCATGAACATTGGCAGACAAACGTTACTCTTTTTGCACTTTTTTTCTTCACAAGTATATATCCCGAAAGCAAGTTCCTACACGTTTGGCATCATTTCCCAAAAATTTTCCTCTCTCCATTCAAGTCGAAGAGAACAAAAGAGCCCTCAAGCTGGTCCTTGAAAGAAAAAAAAAAAAAAAAAAAACAAAAAAAATGAAAGACTCAAGGAGGATCAGCTTATCAGGCTCGCAGCTAGGGGGTCCCGTAGATTTTTTACGGTTTAGTGACCTGCTTCTCCTTTTTTCCTTTTCCTCCGTACCTATAGCTGATGAAGGGATGCCCGTGATCTTGTGATCGTAAAAATCTGATCTACGACGCGAGAAGATGATCCCAAACGCGTCCCTCGTATCTGTTTCCAGGGGCTGTATCTACGGTTAAATGGACCGAATCGCCTAAAAGGTATCGTGATAATACGCAGCGATAACATTTTTAATTGACTTTAGTATCATCGTCGTCACTACGACTCGCTCGTACTTAATGGACCATCAAAACTTGTACATTTTGCGCACAAACATTTTAACGAGTATGGACGTAAAAAAGTTTCAAAAACCGAGGCTGACGTTGGCGCACGATACATTTACCATGAGGTACCATAAAACGCGCCAATATAGTACAAAAAGTTCATTTCAAAATGTCATTTTGCAGTGAGAAAAAATTACCGATGATCCGCGGAAATTTCGTACCTTTGGACACCGCGAAACCATCAATTCGCCAAAAACGCGTACGAGTTGAAATACGAGAAAAAAAGAGAAAGAACTTATCGATCAAAACGTGTTTCTTTTCCTCGGAAAAAAAAAAAAAAAACAAAAAAAAAACAAATGGAGGGAGCGCGTATTCGATCTCCGGAGCAAAAGAGGAGAGGAAGTTAGAAAGTATCCTCGAGCTAAAGGCTTAGGAGGCCCGCAGCTGCTGCATGATCCGCGTACGCGCGCCGAGAAAGCTTCGCGGGACTAAAACTCTTTAAGGGGTTTCCGAGGGGCGCCCAAAGCGGGCGTTTTTTTTTTTTACCCCACCCCCCTTTCCTCGTACGGCGTCGCGCGAACTTCTCGATCGTCGTTTTTCCTGGCTCGCTTCCTCGCGAGACGCCGACGCGTTTTCACGAGAGTTTAACGAAAATTCGAGGAAAATAGATGCCTCCCGTCGTCCCTTGCCTTTTCGTTCGGAGTTTGCTCCTTTTTTTTAATTTTCAATGTAGTTTAATGTAACTTTTTGCTCTCACCTTTTGGTGTTTTGCGTTAAGCTGATTCGTTGGTAGTTTCCCAAAAAAAAAAAAAAAAAAAAAAAAGTCCCACGCTCAGCGCAGCGAACAGCGTGAAATTCTTCGTCCTACGTACACATACGCGTTCCCATACGTAAATTAAAAAAAAAAGTGCCGACAGTATCCAATAAGTCATATAAAATCGTTGTTAAAGAGAAAAGACGGAAAATTCTCATCCACGTATACGCAAATACACGCGTAATCAAACGAGACGGAGTAGTAAAGTGTGTCTGCGAAAAAAAAAAAAATGCACACGAAGCGGGTATCCAAGTGGGGCTGGCGAGACGAGCGAAACAGGTATATAGAGGTGCACGTGGAAGAAGAAGTAGCCTATACCCTCGGTCTCCTTTGCCCTGCACTTGACGCTCTCGTGACAAGCGGCTCTCGGGACAAGTTTTCGATTCCAGCCCGAATGTTGTCTCTGCGCTGCAGCTGGAATGAAGTAAGTGCAGAAAGAGACGGGGGAACGAAGAAAAAGGAATGATGAAATTGCCAGGGCTAAGGTGCGCGAGAACAGAGGGGCTGGCTCCTTCTTTCCGACTTGCTCGTCACGCGTTATTATTTCAGTATCTCTCGCTCCACTGCTGCTCGCTGTAGTACTTTGTTGACGGAGTAGCAAATGTTCACTGGCCGCTCAGCTCGGACCTGAAACACGCAGTTACATTTTTTCGTCAAAAACACTCGTACCTAGCTACCACTATCGGTAGAGTCAAACTCACTTGAGTGCCTTGTACCGTTCCTTTTCGTGGTTGTCCGGCGGCTCGCACTCGAAAGATGCCAATGCCAGGGCTGCAGCGACAAAAAAGAGACAGCCACGTCAACTCGGGGGGAAACATTGTACTAAAAATCATAAGGAGAAAAAGAAAAATCAACGCACCGTTCTCCGTGAGGACCGGGCTGGCTTGGAGGAAGGCTATGACCCGCGGGTTCTTCTCGAAGGGGCAGGCCACTTGCTTCCAGGCTATGAACTCCGTCACCTGTTTGGCCAGCTGCCAGAACTTGTCGAAGTTGATGTGTCCGTTGGGCAGCCTGTGGAATTCGTAACCGCCTCGTTTGAATGAAACCGCGAATCCCTCGTTTTTGGGTATATACGTGCCCCGATTTACATTTTATGCGAAAAACGCCTCAACTCGCGCATATCGGAAAAGAAAAAAAAAAAAAAAAAAAAAACTTTATCTCTTTCACCTCTGGAAATGGCGTGTCAGCTACACCCTCCCCCCTTCCATTACAAGCAGCGAAGAACGAGCGACGCGCATCTTTTTCTCCGCCCATACGCGAGTGTAGGGAAAAGTCCCGTTTCAACTTTCGTCATTACAAGTTTAATAAGTTTACAGCGACGCGCTCGCTAACTCGAACGAAAATCGAAGGGGATTGGAGATACAGCTGATTTCTCGCCACACGGGTACGAGGGTTTTTTTTTTTTCTTTCTTTTCCTCCCTCGTTTTGATCATTTTCTCCACTTATTCCCAACGATCGCAACCATACTTATCAGAGGCGCGAAAAAATATTTGTCCGACCACACGTCGAGCTGTACTACTTAAAATGTGCGCCTCGCCACCTACGGACTCGTACTTTTTAATTTTTGTCCCCCCGCTCGCTGTATAATACACACGTGCACGTCGCCTAGTTGGTGAAAAAAAGGTGTGCGTGGTGCTCGTATTTTTTGGAGCGTGAACAATTGCGCGAAACAATGTATTCCGCAGATGGTGAAAATTAATGTAAACGAGGGAGGGAGTGAAAAAAAAAAAAAAAAAAAAAAAAAAAAAACCCGGCACTAGCGAGTGTTGCGAGTGTGTTCTTGGACACGTATTGTGCGTACGAAGAGTGAGGGTCTCACTTGTTACTGCAGCCCTCGTTGAGGAAGTAGAGGTCCTTGACGAGGAGACTGAAGAAGGGCACGACGATGCGCTGCCTCTCGTCCGTAGCGCCGGCGCTACGCCACATCGCCGCCTTGAGGGTGCTACGGTAGCTGCTGAAGTTGCTGCTCGGGTCCATCTGGTGCTCGAGGATCGAGAACTTGGCTTGCTGGACCTTGGACCACTGCGCAGGAAAGGACGCTTGTTGTTATTTCCCCCAAAGTGCTCGCGGTTGTACATAAATGTCGAGGGCGGGAGACTATCGTAGGGATGAAAGGGTGACGTTTCAATGGGCTTCAATGACTGTCCATACTCACGGTTTTCTTCAGCCGCGATATGGGGGACATGTTCAGTCCGGCTATGATCGCCATGAGCGAGTTGAAGTTGCCGATGTTGAAGCACTCGCGAGCCGTCTCGATCCAGTACTCGACCACCCGGACTCGCTGCTTCTTTTTCGCGTGCTTGCAAACTTCGGTGGCCACGAAGTAGCTCAGCCTGTTGAACCACTGCACGTACGACTCGAGGTTGCGCGTCTTCTTCATGTCCTTGAAGGATGTCTCCAGGTGCGGCGACTCCTGTAAGGAATTGCACGCTATCGAGTGAACATCGATATTCCCTGGGGCGAGAATAACTATATACGAATCCCGAGGGTGGGTTCATGGTAAATTTGCGACAACGAGACCAGTGAGTAAATATATACACTTTAGGGGTAAAGCGAGACAATGTATATATATATGTATAAAAAAGAAAATAAACGGTCGATCCTTACCTTGGCGAACGCCTGGACGAACTCCTCGGGGCCGATGTAGGACAGCCGCTCGAGCTCGATGTGAGTCAATTGCTGGGCCAGCACGGTCGCCGAGGGGCAGAGCTCCGTCACGTCCACCTGCGCAAACGATACCCCGTGAATCTCCCCCGATCCCTCGGGAAACGAAGTACACACACACACACACAGCCAAGTACACGTATGAACGCGCGTCCATGTGCGGCGTATACACGCTCTTTTGTCGAGAGTTTCTCGCGCGTTATTTCCAAAGGTCCCGGGGGAGCGTTTCCCTCGTTGGTTCGCTTCGCGAGTGGGAACCCTCCGCGCGGCTGAAATGTTTTAACTACCCGCTACGGCGATGGGTAACTTTTTTTTTTTTTTTTTTTTTTTTTTTTCTTCTCCTATGCTCCTATGCTCAAAAGTTTTGACGAGCCGGGGGGAGAGCTTTGCCACTACTTGTTGCTTTTTTTTTTTTTTTCTTCAAAAGGTCACTTTATGTACGTTCAGGGGTGTAAGCGCGCAAGGATATTTGGGATGGATTATATGTACGCGTGTATAGGTCCAACATCGGGGTCATAAGCTCCAATTATCAGCAGTTCGGGCCGATCATCAGCGTGGCCGTAACGAAGAGTAACGAGACGGGCTGCGTGTGTATATATATGTAAAACCAAACGGGCGATCCGCGCGCATCATCATCATCATCATCACTACTGTTACAACCACTACAACAACGGTATTTTGTACAACATGTAATACTTCAGCTGCAAATTCGCTATGAATATATATGCTTTTGGTCGATTTTTCAGTAATGTCGTTTTGGAAACGCGCGCGGTTGATCTACGTCGATTAGCCCTTCACGGAGATTCAACTGTCCCTCGCAAAATCGGAGTGATATGTAGAACAATGCACGTGTGTTGTACGTATGGATTTTCGCTCTCATACATCAGATATAGTTATATATTGTCAGATGCATGTATACATTCGGACGTACAGTTGGCTCGCGCTTAATTTCGAGCTGATTAACCGAGGGGGCGTATGTATATATAAGACAAGCGTGCACGTGTGCTCCGGCACATTTAACTCTCCCGTCTCGGACTGATGCACCGCGAATGAAGCCATATTGTGCGCGCCGAGTTGTACTGGTGTCGAAGCGAGCGGGCTCTAATTAAATCGAGCAAATAGTTAGGCTGCACAGCCGACCCTCCACCTACAACTGTACTATCTTACTCCGTGCCACGCGTTGGGAGAGTCGACCGCGTGTGCGTTAAGCTGCTGGCGCGAAGCCCGTGGGCTATACTGTATGTGCATACTGCACCGGGCGAGGAACGATTACCGTGAGGATGAGAGCAACTGACAATTAGATAATGCCAACAATTGGGGGAGCGAGGGGAGTTTAGCTTTCCCCGAAGGAAGCTGAGCTTTCGGGTGCCGAACTGCTGTAACAAGGTAATCCGTGCGGGGGGCTTCTGTGATAGGGGACGAATGTTTTTTTTTGTTTTTTTTTTTTTTTGTTTTCTTTTTAATACCGAGTTTTTATCTTTTCGAGTCGACGCGCACCAAGTGCCGTTCGAAAGCTAGTGCTTTTGTCGCGCTCTGCTGGGCTACACGTACATTCATTCCGCACGGTAAAACGTAATTGCACGTGCGATCGTTCCGCGATGAGGAGGGTGAGTTTTTAGGGGCCGTAACGTCGCCCGCGTGGAACGAGACGAGTGTGAAATTTACTTGAAATCCGGAGATTGGAGACTAAAGTGTAGTATATGCTACAGGGGTAGCTTGCACAGCTCGAGCGACGGCGAACAATTGGAATTTTCTTATCCGAGAGATATGGGTTAATCGAGGGTTTAACGAGCGGATGAATTTATGAGCAAAGAACCATACAATTTTGGCACGTCTACCGCTCGAGTGAAATTTAATCTGGTTCATACATTTTTCTTTGGGGAGTAACAAAACGCTTTGATTATTCATAAGGATTTTCCTTGATTCCTCGAGAGAGTATGAGTCGTGCCTACTGGTCAAATTAAAAATCGTTATTAGCCAGATAGGCACACGAATGGACAATGGGATGGAGGCAAAACCGCAATAGTGACAGGTATATCATCGGCGCGCGTTATTCAGCCGCGACCCCCCCCCCCCCCCCCCAGTGTACACACATGCATACTGCGTGTAAGCTAATGTAATTAAATTCGCCGAGCATTACCCTCGCGGTAATTCGCGCACAGGAGCTATATGCTGTATACAGTTAATGACGATGATAATCACGATAGTGGCATATGCAAGGGTATATAACATGACTGGGTATTAGCAAATTGAGCTTTTGGCTATCACCGTCCGCGCGTGAATGATAATGCGCGTCTGCTCGACGGACATGTGTACATACACATGTACACGGGCACGCATCTAGTTTGGATACGAATTAGTTTCAATGGCGTCCAAAGGTAAAGTTTAAATGGTTATTTCGAACGTATACGATTGTTCGCCAAACTATCAGGTAATTAATGCCAAAGGGCCGGGCTACCAACCCTATACTCCGATCGACCGTAGCCTCGAGGGGAGAAATTCTCGGCTTAGCGATTCGAACTTTGATTTGGTTTTGAAGCAGAGGTCGTGGTTGGGGTGCGTTTAACAAAGATTAAAAAAAAAAAAAAAAAAAGAAAAAACGTAACGAGCGTCATTAAATTAGTCAAAAAGACCGTAATTAAAATGTGTTTCCTATTTGTTTGTTTCTTCGGAATGCCCTTAATATCGAAACAGAGGCGAGTTGCTCGGGGGAGAAGTTTACAGCGTCAGAATTTTTTCTCCTTTTCACGAGAAAGTTAACGAAACTTCCTCAGGTAAAACTAATGAATGAAAACCCGGCAGAGGGGGGTCGTCGACGAAAGCGAATAAAAAGGGAGGCAAGGAGAATTAAAAAAAAAAAAGGGAAAAAGTCAAGAAAGTCTGGCTTCTTGAGAGTCGTACAATGTGCGTTCCTTTCAATTTAATGCTGAAATACGGATGCTTAGGAGGACGGTAAAAAATCACTGGGGAGTAAAAAAAAATTAAACGAAAGAGGCTCAGAGTGCGAGGCGGGGACCCTTTACGAGCTTTTTTCTTTTTTTAAGACTCGGGAGCTCTTTTTTTTTTCATTTCCCTGACTCTAATGACTTGCGGGAAATTGTTAAAAAACGACGCATACACACGAGAAAAACTGACCTGCGAGAGCGACTCGGTGGTCGAGTCGTTGGCGAGCCTGGTGAGGGCCTCCTCGTATCTCTCGAGCGCAGTGAGCTTGACCAGCAAATTCTGCAGGAGCACCGAGACCTCCTGTCGGGCGGCAGCGTCGACATTGGCGACTTTCTGGGTAATCGACCTCACGTGGCCCATCACCCTCTCGTCCCGGAAGTCGTACGGAAACGTCTCGGTCCACTCGGCCAACAGCTGCACCAGTCGAGGCACGAAACGATGTAGCCGCTCCTACGGACACGTACGCAAATGTAGATGTACATATGTTGGGGAGGACAAGCCGTTTCACGGTGATTTGACCTCCGCAGCGCTCGTTTGCGTTGCGTGTCTTTGGTAATGGGGTACGTATACGCGGTTGCGGACTAGATTCAAAATGAAATACCTTTTTTTTTTGTTTCTAGCAACAACGAAATATTACATATTTTCTCGTGCATGGGTACATACGAATGTTACGTACGTTCGGACATGTAGAACTTTTTATTACGATATCAAGTTTGTATAAATTAGTTATGAGCCAGGGATACCTTGCATTGCTCATTAATTTGACTACCCCGTGTATCGTAATAAATCGTGCGCTCGTGTAAAATACCGTAGCAGAGATAATTGACTCAAAGGAAAAGGGAATTTCAATACGCAGTAAAATTTACATGTTGTACGGTGAAATGATATGTGAAATCAAATAACTTATGTTTCGACGATAATATTTTTCATTAAAAAGCTGAAAAGCACCGGAAAATCGCTCAAATTTTGCGTGATCCAGCCCGTATAACAGTTCGTTGGAAGGGCAATTTGTATAGTTTTTGGCCAATCAACTTTTTTTGTTGTTGTGCCGATTTTCTACACATCGATGGGTTGTTACACGGAAAATAATAACCACGAGGCTTTTCAAGAATGGCTTCATACCCTCAATGGGATCATTAGCCCGGCTCATCGATATGCATATCATTGTCGTGCTGTTTTCGCATTTGCCAAGTAAAATCTCGATTTGATGGAGAAAACATTAATATCCTGGTATAAAAAAAAGCTTCCCTCGCGACACAAAGATTTTACATTTCTAGACGCTACAGTGGCAAACTTATAACAATCGGCATTTATATCTCGAAGCGTTTGACTCCTCGAGATATAAGAGAAAGGGGAGTGTCAGTTCCATTGTGTACACGCATGGAAAAGGAAGAGGGATGCAAGTCGGAAAATCGAGCCAGAGGGGAAGGGTCGATTTACACGATCGGCCGGTAAGTAACACGTGGCAAGGGGGTTGGCGTGCAAATACACGAATCGCAGGGCGAAGGAGGAGGTGGAAAAAACGCCGATGAAAACGATAATGCGTATGCAGTATGCAGATATTTCCTTCTTTTTTTCGCTCCATGAGCTTCGTTCCCTCATTGTTCGTGAGGAGGAACATCACGAGTGTTGCACGGCTCTTTTGTACACTTTAACTCGTGAGAAAACTCGATACGGCTGGATATTCCGGGCGCAACGTATCAAAAACACATTGTAAGAATTTATTATTCATTCCTGTCGTAAATTAAAAAAACCACAACAATCAAGCTGTTTCATCGCTGAGGGTAACATACGCGTACGAAATGTCTCTTATATTCGCTGGAAAATCCCTTTCCCCGTCGTAAAATCGAAGCCCCTCGTACACCGGCAATATCTAAATCAATCTCCGGGCCATGGAGCTTTCACGGCCTCTTGCACACACGAGACGAAGACGTCGGTAGCAGCCAGATAAAAATGGCTCGCGGATAAAAGACCTTTTGACCTCCTCCAGCCGTACATATGTCGAAGGTAAGGGAGGGAGGCAATATCAGATATCGAGTTGGTCGTGTGGGCTGTAACTCACCTTTCCACCCTCGCCGTTGAGATTCTGCTGATGCTCGCAGAGAGCGCACACCTCGCCCAGGAGCTCGTGGGGCTTGATGAAGAGCCGAGCGCTCAGCAGAAAGGCGAACAGGTACGCCCGGTCCGGGTAGTACTCCTCCGTGGGCACCATGTGCTGCACCAGCGCCTCCAGCGAGCCCGAGACCAGATTACCGTCGCGATACACCAGCTCCTGAAACATTGAGTCGTAAGGTTATACCTTTTTTTTTTTTTATTCTTCTTCTTCTTCTATTGTTTGGCGATACAGGAAAATTCAAAGGAAAATCATAAATCGTCCAAAATGTACAATGTTGGTATACATGGCTTACGACAGGGGACTCGAGGTCTTTCAGCCCGGATACCGAATTGGTTGCTTTATATTTTACTTTAATTAAACTCTCAAGCCAGAAATAAAAGTACGTACAACAGATACGAAAGTACCTCGAGATCGGGAGTATACTCCTACAATGGCGAGCCCGGGTTTTGTAAAAGGTGACGTATGAAGAGGGAATGACAGAAACAGTCCATCGAGCTTCGTAAGGGTAGATAGGGCATCACGGGAAAATATTTCACATCGATATCGGGCGAGGGAGCGATACTTTAATCATTAATACAGGGTGATTTTTTTTTCCCCCATTCGTTCTCTCACTTTTTTACGTTACAAAGAGCTCGGAGAGCCACTGTAAAGCGTGATATTTTTTACGTCCCAGGAGATTTACACGAAAATTCAATATTGACAAAGCTCGAGAGCTGCTAGAACAGCTCACTCGTTGGAAATTATTTTTACGGCGTATTCCATACGTATGTGCATACATAAAAGATAAAAACTCGTTACAAATCATTTTCGAGCTCTGTAAAGTTAAACGATTTTCGCTTTCAATGGCCCACCCCCTACTTTTTTCTGTACCTTTGAAATTTCATTAATTGCTGCGAAAAAAAAAAAAAAATACATATCCGCAGGCAGGTGCATATTGATTTAGGTGCCCAATTCGAGTGCTTTCATATTTAATGTAGATATTTTTTTAAATTTTATTTCTCTATCAAACGATCGCGGAATCGCATCAGAGCTTTTGTACACTGAGAAAAAAAATAAAAATAAAAATTACTGTGCTAAAATAGTAATCTGGTAATGTTCGGTCGTCTGGGGACATTTTACTGTTTTACCAGTATAATTTTTATAATTTAGGATAGTAACTTTTGTTGTAAGTGCAGTGATTTTTATTGTTTGTACAACAGAAATTACTGTCCAGCAATGAAATGGTAAAAATTATCTTGGCAAAAGTAAAAAGTCCCTATATGGTGGAATGACACCAGATTACCATTCCAGCACAGTAATAATCTTATTGTTGTTTTCTCTCAGTGTAGCTTTGGTCTTTTCTTTTCCAACGCTGTATACATGAATTTGAGGGAAAAAGAAAAAACTTGACTCCACAACATAGCAGCGATTCATCTCTAATGAATTTATGATACACACGGCGTATAGGTACTTTCGTTCGTCAAGAAAACAGAAAGAGAGATAAAAAAAGGACCAAGCTCCTGTCTTCGAGTGGCGCAAAACTTTTTATCAAAAAGCTCCTCGTCGGAGACCTATGTACACCTTACGCATGTGTACACGGCGTCATGCAACAAAACAAGGACAAAGTTTGTGTACGAAGTACAACCCAGCGCTAATGAAACTTCCAACTGCGTAGACGTAAAAGTTTCCCAGAGGCATATACAGATCTTTTTGTTCGAGGCCACAGAGGTAACATTGACGCGCGACGAAAGCTCCCCCCCCCCCCCAAATAAGCTTCCCCAATCCACGCCAGTCACCAGCAGCTCGACACTCTCTCTTCAAATTCATCCGTGCACAAGCCTTGGGGGTTTAATCGCGCCAATTCGCCCCGGTGCAGATGTATCGTACGTCAAAGCTCAAGTTTGCTTTTCGTGCGAAAGGTCGAGCATCAATTATTACACCCGAGAAGTTCTCGAGATCGGGGGGGCAGTAAAAAACTACCGGTGCACTCTCATTGGCCGAAGAAGGAGTTCGGCGAGTGGAAAAAAAAGGTAGGGTGGACCGGATGCACGTGTATGGAAGGGGAGGTGCACAATAGCGGCCCCGCTTCTTATCGCGTCCCTGAGATGGTATCGCTGGTGAAAACTCGTTGCGAGAAAGGGAGCATCGGGGAAAAAGAGGTGCAGGAGCTCGCGAGCCAAAGTCGAGTGGGCAGCCGAGCGTAGTGCCGGGTTTTTTCGGCACATGGGTGCCTTTTCATTCACAACGTGTTGTATATAAATAGGCACATGTACGTATATGGTTCACGGGAGAAATTGGCGAAACAGAGGGAAATATATTGCACCGGTGAATCAACTTTTCTCATCGTACTTTTGTGTAACAATGGGCGAACTCTGTAGTTCCCAGCCACTGAAGTGCACCGCGGACGGGATGGTTTATTAATTTAGTTTGCGCTTGGTAACGGGGAAAAAAAAAAAAAAAAAAAAAACTAAAAAAAGCCCTAAAAAGACCGCTCACTGCTAGCCAAGTGGCTTTCCGCTAGTTCCATGTATACATGGCTCGCCGGGACAAATGAAAGGGGGTATAGTTTACACAACAATGCAAAAATAATCATCATCGACGGTGGTGCATGATGCACGGGTACTCATACCGGGGACGTTGATGTGCAATCATTGTGTTACGGAGCACACAGCCGCACACAATTATCGGACTCCTGCCCCGAAGCTACAGCATACACATAACTCCCCTCCTTTGATAAATTCACTTTGCTCGAGCTAGTTTTTTTTTCCCCTTTCCCCCCCCCCCCAACGAGAGGCTTTCTCTTTTGTGATGATTCGCGCGCACTGCAGGGGCATCGTCCCTGCGGAGCCGGAGTAGAGAGAAAGGAAAGAAAGCTCGCGCGGTAATTCACTTCCGGCTGAATGGCCTCTCTATACTGCTGTCGTGCGTTATATATTATACACCTACCGCGTGCATGAATTTTCTCCTTTATCCGAGTACCTGCGTAAAATAACTGCGTTTAGCCCTTTGCACTTTTTCCCTTTTTCGACATTTTTGTTCTTGCTCCGACAACCGAAAAACCACGTGCACGACTGTCGGGCGAGGTACATTGCCCGACAAACTTTCGTACGAATTCGAGCAAGTTTTCGCTATGCTGGCCCCCACACAGCGTGTCGAGCGTTCAAAATAATATTAGTGAAAGAATGGAGAGAGAGAGAGAGGAAAAAAAAAGAGTGAAGCTCGCGTGTATATGGCACATTTTCGCGCAAAAGTGCTCGCATACATTACAAATACGCGAGGGGCAATAGACAGATCTCGAGAACTTTTGACCTGGTTTTCGAGCTCCTGCGCAGCTCTTTTTTTCGTTTTCTTTTTTTTCTTTTTTTTTTTTTTTTTTCGTTTTTCCTGGCTCCCTCGAAACGGATTTTGAAAGTAGTTTTTTTTTTCTGCCACTGCTCTCGCGGGTGTGTACCGATGACGGGGAGAAAAACAAAAGACACCAACATTCAAAAGCTACAGTTTTTTTTTTCCATCCCGTGCATACCCGCACTCGAGGATGATTTGAAAGAAACAAAAAAAAAAAAAATAAATAAATAAAAGGAAAGAAATAAATAAACATATGCATATTTTTTTTGATCCGCGTATAGGATCGCAGGAGTGCTCGTTCGCGTGTATACGTATCCATGCGCTTTTTCCCCGTCTCGAGAGCGGTCTCGAGCATCGGAAAGATAAAAAAGGTAAAATAAGCCCGATATCCGAAAATTCAGACGGAAAAACACGCGCCTCTCGCTCTACTTTTCCCCCTACGAGTATATAGGCACTGGAAAACAGCCCCCGTTATTTTTTCCTCGCGTCTCGTTATGCGTGCTACGTACAGGGCTCGCTCGCATTCACCTCATTTTCGTCTCTCGACGCCCCTCGCGCACCCGAATTCCGAAATCGAGACCCCACCATAGTCCCCCGGCTACTCTACTGCTACATATATGTATACACATGTAAGCTCGACGAAATGAAATTCTTATTGCGTTTGCCGAGGGACCTACTATTACGCCTCTTTTTCCGTGACCATATATATATTATACGGATAAGTAGTACGTGCGCATAATATCTCGCGCCGTGCGTACACGGCCTATGGTCCTTTTTCAGGTGATGGCGTATAGGGGGGGAAGGACGAGATGCTTTTGGAAAATGAATATTTGACTCTCGAGAGTCGGTTCGTACATAAGCCGCTCGCTCATCTTTTTCTATTTGTGCACACGCGTCGCCGAGTAGAATTAGTTTCTCGGTATCTTTATACGTACATACATATAAATGTGTATCAATGCACGTATCTCTATCTTTAATCCGTCGTAATTGGAGTGTGGCTCGTTTCGCCGGTTCGCAAAGCTATACATATACTTTTTACTCGTAGAACACGGAGCACAAACACTCGGGCGTATCAAACGTAAGCTGCTTATCTGCAGCGCCAAAGTATATTATTATTGGCCCCTCCCTTGCAATTTTTTAAATTATCCTTAATAATTTTAATGCAAAGAGCAGCGACGCACGTCGCTTATACATATTAATATCACTTGCAAATTCATAACAAGTGATATATCATCCAGAAATATCGTGAAACCTCGAGTACGACTTTCCTCGTAGCATATCATAATGCACTACAAACGCGTGTAAGAAAACAAACCCCGAGAATTACACATTGCAAAGCACACAACGAACGCGCGACGTCGAGCCGGAGGGAGTCGCGCCTATATATAGAGACACTTTCATTCGACTTAATCGCAAACGTTGTACGGCGACGGGAGAAATTTCCGAGCAACACACGCGGAAAGTAATCCCGCGACTCCTCATCGCCGGGCTCTCGTGAAATAATGTACCGTGTAGGCGTACAAGAAGAAGAAGAAGAAGAAGAAATTTTGTCGCGCGGGTTATACGACAGCAATTACCGGGAAAGCAGCGACGGCGGCGTCTTATTGTTTTCTTTTTTGGTTTTCATTTCGTGGGCGCTTCGTTGCTCCCCATATACCAAAAAGAGGCTTCAAGGCAATAAGCCGGTCCGCACGAGGTAAAGACGAGCTCAAAGCCGCGGTTAAAGTGCATCGTGGGCGGCACACACGAGGTTGACAAAAGGGGTGATGGCAAAGGTTGGTGTGTGTATACGCAGGTGTAGGTTCAACGTGTGTGCTTTGACGTAGTTGTTTTTCAAATTGAGGTGCGATGTAGCCGGTCGCACTTTGACGAGGGTAGATGAGGTTTTTATTTTTATTTTTTTTTATTTATTTTTTTTTTTTCGGGTAGATTACACATGAATATTCGGGACTGGCAGATTTTCCTAGTCCCGACGATCATGTACTTTTTACTGAATGACTACCAATGTACACGTGCATGTGAGTCGATGAAAGATTAAGGAAGAAATCGTGTGCATCAGTAACAAGTGAGCTGTTTCGATTTTTGTGTACCACTCGTGGAGTAAATACACCCAAACTACATTTATACATGTATATTCAAAGACAAAATTCCACTCAAACGCTCCGTTGGGCACCTAATGGTTACGCGTAAAGATGTCGTGTACAACTCCGAGGAGCAAGTGACAAATGAAGAGTAGCGCTCGGCCTCTCCCTTCGTTTTTCTTGGAGAAAAGTGTGTACAGACACACACACGTGAGCCAGACAAGCGCAAAAAGTGGAACTCCGTGGGGTGTATTAAAAGCGATGTAGCGACAATTGCTGCACCCCCTGAGGATGGAAGCGTCTCGGAGCTTTTTCTCCTTCCTTGTCCCGTCCTTTTTGCCATTCTGTCGCGTGAAACTGTACGTGAGTGTGTGCTACACATCACCAGAAAAAAGGGTTGCCGAAAGTTTCGGAGGTCGCTATTTTTCGAGCGCGCTTTTTCACCACGCAATGCTCCTCGAGGAGGGTTTAGGCGACCTTCTCGCAGCAAAAATTTCCTAATTTCCCCCTACCCCCCTCCCAATAATGGGAGGCCTCCTATCCCTTTCCCAAGTGCTAAGTGCCCTTATTAAAAGGAGCCGGACGTAGAGCGCTATAATTAAAAAAAAAAGTCGCTATTTTTTATTTCATGTACGTAGAGCAGAAAAAAAGAGGGTAAACAAGTGAGCTGCCAATACGGAGGGAGAGAAAAAAAAAAAAAAAACAACAAGCCGGTAATTGGCTCTGCAAAACACAATCGCCTCCGTGCGAGGGGTCGTAGTGGAGCACACCGCATAAAAGACCGTTGTAACATCGTTACAGAGTCGGCTTTTGTTGCGCGGCTGAAGAGTGGCCGCGGCGCAGCGACGACAACAACGAGCGCGTAGGATGGTATTAACGAGCGGAGCGGCGATCGAAAAGCTACGTCGCGTAATGGAAACGAAAAAAAGGAGAGAGAGAGAGAGAGAGAGAGAGAGAGAGAAAAGTGCGCATACGTTTTGTATTTTTGTTGATTTTTCTACATGCCCTTTGTCGCCGGAGCATTATTGCGTAAGCAGAAAAAAAGGGAGCACGGAGCTGGGGCTGGTAGATTCAGTTGGTCGCACTTTTTTTTTTATTGTTTTTCATTCCCCTGTTTTTTCTTTTTCATATATCATTACTTTTTTTTTCATATTTCATTCCATTACTTTTTTTTTTTCAATCTTTTGTAGGGACTATCAATAT